GACCAAAAGGGAGCAAATAAGAGAAGTTTTATTGTTAAGGTTTACATTTATTTTAACAGTGTCTTATTATTTGTGTTTCTAGGCCAGGCTAATCTTTGCGCTAGTATCTTACTTTCAATACTTTTGTCAGGAATGGACTCACCACTGGTGGTGGGACTCACCTGCCGTGTGGGCTGCAGTACCAGGGCTGTTCTCAGCAGCCAGAAGCTCACTTCTGCAATCAAGTCATCACCTGAGGCTGATTGCAGGAGGTGTATTTAAGGAGTAGCCAGGCCTGCAGTCAGGGTCTTAGTGTATGTTTCCCATGAGCCCCTGTACCTGCATCCTGTCTGCCTCCTGCCTGATCCTGCTTTGATCCTGACTCTGAACGAACTCCGCCTGTCCTGACCTCGGCTATTCCTGACCACTCTTCCGCTCGCTCTTGGTACCCTGTTTGCCCGTTTGCTACCGACCCGGCCTGCCCGACTACGTTTGATTTGTATATATGGTTATCTGTTGGAGGTTGGGTTGTTTGCACTGTGTTATGTTTACCTTGCACTGCGTTTGTGTTGTTTAGTCTTTAATAAATTGTCTTGTTTACTCTATACCTGAAGCCTGCGTTTCCCTGTGTCAGTCCACACACCTCTGGACATACCTGGAGCCCTGACACCTTTCGCATGTGAAAAGTCGACAGCAACAGGATCTGCTACAATAGTAGTTTGGAAAAGGGTCCCAAATTTTTGGGTTCTCAGTAGGAGTCTAGGAAAGAGCCACCAATGACTTGATGTGCAATAAAAACATTTTTATTCCTGTCTGTGTTGATATTGTATACTACATTTACTGTCCTAATATAAAGAGAAAAGTGCCATTGAAATTAGGTGTAATCACCATATCATAAATATTCCCCGACTCACCCAATGTATAGGGTGTGGATTTTAAACCAAATAACATATGGAAAGAAATTAGCAGCTGACAAGAGCAGACCTGCCACAAAGTGGTATATTACAAATCCTATGCGGAGTAAAATCTCCTTCTTCCCTAAGGTAGACTTTCTTCCACCTCAACCAGAATATTGTCCAAATCTTCTGCTACCCTGAGCTTCATTAGAGAGATTTACCCTTCCAGTCCTGCTTACGTTTTACAAGGCGGACAGTAAATGTAAATCCTATGCGGAGTAATGATCACTAAATTAGTGAATGCAAATATAGTATTTATTAAGATCACATGGATCATGGAAAGGTAGACATTATATCATGGTGAACAGTTTTCAATCATACAAATAAAATCAAAAAATTATAAAAACAAAAAAAAACAAAAACGTTCTGCGTTTTCCACTTAGCTGCGTGAATTACTTAGATATCAGACTTACTTAAGTCTGATATCATAGGAAAAGACTACCATTGCTGATCGACCGATATTCAATAAATTACAGTGGTTTGGCTTCTAGAATGAACAAACATTTGTTAATCAAACTATTAAACAGCATCAAAAAGGTGAATGGCTGAAGTATATACAGGTGAAACTCGAAAAATTAGAACATGGTGCAAAAGTTCATTTATTTCAGTAACGCAACTTAAAAGGTGAAACTAATATATGAGATAGACTCATTACATGCAAAGCAAGATAGTTCAAGCCGTGATTTGTCATCATTGTGATGATTATGGCTTACAGCTCGTGAAAACCCCAAATCCACTAAATTACGCATTCAATGGAAACCAATTAATGTTTTTCAAAACAATTTCAGACACAGCTAGGTTAAGTGCCTGGACACATCTCCAGGTACTCCAAACCGTACTCTCTGCTCCTTGCACGACCTCCTGCTCTCTAGCTCCCTTGTCTCCTCCTCCCATGCTCGTCTCCAGAGCTTCCCCCATCCTCTGGAATTCCCTACCTCAACTTATCAGACTATCACCTACTCTGCTCACTTTTAGGCAATCTCTGAAAACCCATCTCTTCAGGGAAGCCTATCCTGCCCTCAGCTAATAATGGAATCTTCTACTCCTCCTACCGGTCCATCCCCCACAGTTACTACCTTTTGTACCACTAGCCCCTTTCTCCTAGATTGTAAGCTCCAAGGAGCAGGGCCCTCAAATCCCTCTTGTATTGATCTGTATTGTTGCTGTATTGTAAAGCGCTGAGCAAACTGTTGGCACTTTATAAATCCTTTATAATAATACTTACACTGGCTGTATCTTGCATTGGAGCAGCACTAGAAGGAGTTTTAGCAGCATTTTGTCCAGAAAACACATCCTAGCCTTTCTGCTGTCTTCAGCCCTTTATTGATTTTTCCATCTCTCAAAGCTAATAATGTCCGGGTTCATATAAAAATCTATGCATAGGAATATACCAAATCTGTCATTGCCTCTGTTCACCTAGGAGCAGGGGCGGACCGACCATTTGGAAATTCGGGCACTGCCCGAGGGCCTGGGGTCAGTAGTGGGCCCCATGAGATGTCCCTGGTAGCTTTTTCATAGGCTTTTTAGAGTTTGGGCAAGGACACAGGGGCCCCATGATTCCCTATTGCCTGGGGGCCCCATGAGTTGTCAGTCCGCCCCTGCCTAGGAGACATCTCTGAGTATCAAAGAAATGTATCTATAGTATTTGAACCCTTCTTTCCAGCACATCCCATGCTTTGCTGTGGGGTCTAGGCATTAACAGTTTGGGGTTCTGTCCCTTATGTTGGCACCTCTAGTATTCATCGTGATGATGGACCCAGTACTGGCTCTACTGAGCTTCCAAATCATTTCCATTATGGAATACTTAGATGACATCCTGTTGAGGGAACAGTCATCCAAAGGCTATGGGAGGTTTTGACTCTCCCTGAAGCATTGGACCTTCTTAACCTCCTCGGCGGTATGATTCTTTCCAATTTTTTTTGTGCTGAAAGCGGTAAATTTTTTTGCATAGAAATATGTAGTTTTTTATTGTAGGCTGTAATTTTTAGGAATAACTCACTGAAATCTGTCCGAACAAGAGTCTAGTAAACATCCCGGGTATCATAAAATTTTAAACACGAAATCATAAATTATAATTTAATAAATAATCATAAAAAATAATAATATAATAATAAATTTAATTCAATAATATAATCAAACCAAAAACACTGAAATTTGAAATACAAAGGCAAATTCGCACATCGCTGAGCAAAGTCGCAGAATCGTTTTCAGTGTCTGATGACGAATTTCCCCCACAAATCATTATCACTCAATTCTGCAAGTGGTTCTGATTTACTATCGCTGTTCTCTAGCTGATCTAAAACCGCTTTTGACCTAAAGGGACGCTTTTTGGACGCCATGGACTTTTCTAAGTTTCCAGGCAGAAAGAACAGTCAAAATGCAGGCAGGGCGCAGGACAAAGCAGTAGGGACAAAATGTATGTGAAATGCATTGAAAAAGTAATGACAGCAAAAATGACATTTTTAAAACATTTCAAATTTCCCGCCGGTTCCGGCGCCCGTACGTCCCGACGTCACAGGGACCGGAACACAGAAGCCAGATGCCGGCATTGGCCAGAGGAGATGGCCGGGGATGCTGCAGGGGACACATCGTGGGAGCGAAGGACAAGGTAAGTGCTGCAGGGACCCCCGGAGAACGCCGCATGGTAAGCCCGAGTGTAGCTCGGGGTTACCGCTCTTGGTACTCAAAATTTACCCCGAGCTACACTCGGGAATACCGCTAAGGAGGTTAATGGAAGGAAGAAAGTCAGATCACAGCTGCAAAAGAAAAAAAAAATTGTAGATTTTGATGAGGCTGAGATCAATAGAAGGCACTTTTTTGAGTTATGAATTCATAGTTGAATATAATTTTTTATAGCATCGCTTCAACCAACTGCCGGCCCACTCACAGTAAATGTACTGCGAGGGGGCAGCACAGGCAAGCATGGCGTTGTACTGGTATGTCGCCCATTCACATGGCACTAGCATGCCCCGTGGGGCCTGGAGCGCTGCGACCCTGCTCAGTACCTGGCCGCTGTGAGCAGCCAGGGTATCATGTGATTGCTATGACCAATCATAGCGATCACATCATAATATGTAAGAAAACTGCCATAAATGGCTTTCATTTATGAACAGCTTGCTTACAATTGTGATGCTGCGATTGGGCCACAGCTATCACATGGTACCTGACACCCTGTACCATGTGATTAGCAGTAGCCAATCACAGCATGTCAACAGTAAACAAACTATCATGAATGGAAAGCTGTTTATGACAGTAAAATAATTACTTGTAACAGTGATCATCACTGTTATTAGCAATAGCAGTGTAAAAAATATTCCTGATCACCCCCAGTGTAGTACAGTGTTACTATGGTGACATTAAAATACGCTGAGAAAAGTTTTAAAAAAAAAGGAAAAATGTCAAAAACAGTTTTAGAAATATAAAAAATATATACTGCACTGGTGACACTATTTAACCCCTTGCCTACCAGGCACTTATACCCCCTTCCTGTCCAGGCCAATTTTCAGCTTTCAGCGCTGTCACACTTTGAATGACAATTGCGCGGTCATGCAACACTGTACACATGACTGATATCAGGACACACATGACATATCAGGACACGGCACGCTGGGCTCTCCTCCATGGGAGGTGTCAGGAAAGGTCCATCCGGGGATCTGCACTTCGGGGACATCTGATGTGTGAAGGAAATACTTGCATCCATTACAAAACAAAAACCCAGCTGGCAGCGGTGGGATTCGAACCCACGCCTCCGAAGAGACTGGAGCCTTAATCCAGCGCCTTAGACCGCTCGGCCACACTACCTGATGACACCATATACATGGCTGTGTGATGAAGGATAAATATCCCAGAACACTTTCCTTGATTTGTTACTAATTTAACCCCTCACCTACCGGGCACCTATACCCCTTCCTGCCTACCGGGCACCTATACCCCCTTCCAGCCCAGGCCAATTTCCAGCTTTCAGCGCTGTCACACTTTGAATGACAATTGCGCGGTCATGCAACACTGTACCCATATGAAATTTTTATCATTTTTTTGTGACAGAGCTTTATTTTGGTGGTATTTAATCACCTCCGGGATTTTTATTTTTTCTTAAACAAACCAAAAACCACTGAAAATTTTGAAAAAAAAAAATGTTTTCTTAGTTTTTGTTATAAGATTTTGTAAATAAGTGATTTTTCTCCTTCACTGATGTGTGCTAATGAGGCTGCACTGATGGACACTGATAGGTGGCCCTGATGGGCACTGATAAGGGGGCACTGGTAGGTGGCACTGATGGGCATTGACAGGCATCACTGATGGGCACTGAAAGGCAGCACTCATATATGGCACTGATAGGTGGCACTGATAGGCGGCACTGACTGGCACTGTTAGGGGGCACTGACTGGCACTGTTAGGGGGCACTGACTGGCACTGTTAGGGGGCACTGATAGGCAGCACTGACGGGCACTGATAGGCGGCACTGATGCACACTGATAGGCGGCACTGAATGGCACTGATAGGTGGCACTGATAGGTGGCACTGATTGGCAGCACTGATAGGTGGCACTGACTGGCACTGATGGGTGACACTGAAAGGAAGCTCAGATGGGCACTGATATGTGGCAATGATGTGCACTGGTAGGCACTGATATGTGGCATTGATGTGGCACTAATGGGCGTGGATGAGCACTGACAGCTGGCACTGATGGACACTGACAGGTGGCACTGCTGGAGCTACACAGATCATCAGGGCACACTAATCATCAGTGCCCTGATGATCAGTGTACATGTCCCCTCTGTGGAATGCAGATTACCGGCTCTCCTCTCTTCTGTCAGCGTGACAGCTTGTGAGGAGAGAAATGCCGATAACCGGCATTTCCCTATTTACATGCGATCAGCTGTGATTTCCATTGATTGGTGATCCGCTGTGTCCGAGGGACACAGCGCACCACTGATCGCCCCTCTGCGCACCCCGGGTGAGACACGCATGTGCGGTTAGAATGGGACGACGTCATATGACATCCTCCCAGAATGAGAGAACCGCCTTGCGCCCGTCATTTTACTATATGGTGGGCGGGAGGTGGTTAATAAAATTGTGAAAAAAAAAAAACCCTAACTTTATTCAATTTCTTCTTCAATTATTCATATTCCAAAAAAGTGCGACAAAAAATTACAACCTCAAAAAAACTCGCCGTGCCTCATACTAAATACCTTGGACTGCCTGTTGTCCAAAAAGGGGGTCGTTTAGAAGGTATATGTACTGTCCCGGCATTTTAGGGCCTCAAGAAAGGAGATCGGCCATCAGCATATCAGGACTGATCCATTTTCAGATATATACACCATAGTTTGTAGACTCTATAACACACAGACTAAATAATATACACTGCTTTTGGTTACCAAAGAAATGTAGCAGAATACAATTTGGAGTAAATTTATGAAGAAAGACTATTTGTGTAGCACCCCCCCCCCTTAGAAGTCGCTAGAGATTTGGTCCCCCTATAGTCCTGCACTGCCAGGCAACGAGCATTCCTCACAGACTTGCATCCAGGAGACAGTAACCAATCCTTGAGCTTGTTTTGTTTTTAATTTTTTACTTGGATGGGGTAGGAAGGTTTTGGGATGCCCAAGGGAACTGCAACTGAGGACAACTTCCTGGAACTATGTACAAGTCCTTTCAGACAAAAATCCTCTTCTTGGAGAGCTCTCCAGCCTCTCCTGGTGTACCACCCCAGACCCCAGATAATGCTCCTCTATTCAGATGTCTGAAGGAATCTCTGGGTAGGGGATCCAGTGACCTGCCACTGAAGTGTGAAACAGTCCCAGATGAAAACTAGAGTGCCTCTTTCCCCTTACTGGCCCAGGTGGTGCAGGTCTACTCACTCAGTCCATCTCCTATGCTGCTGCTGGGTCAGTGGCTGCTCCCTGGCCTTCTGCTAGGCAGCTCCTTCCCTGCTGCTTAGGTGGTCCTCGCTCTGGGGACCAGTGAAGTCTCAAGCTTTCCTCCTTCCAAGATCCTCTGCCTGTAGGTTAGTCCCTCTCCATCTGGGCCCCCTCCCATGCTACTGCTCTCCAGCCTCACTTCTCCATCTTCCACCCGAACTATGCTGCTGCTGAGCAGGCTTGGTCACTGTTAAGGGCTGTCCTGGCCCCTTGCCAAGCCTCCTTTTGGGGATTGGCCAGGATCCCTTGGGAGTGCAGACAAGCCATTCCCTATCTCCACCCACTGCTTCTAGAACGTTCTCCAAAGTTCTAGTGCAGGGGGAAGTCTCAGAGAATGAGTCTGCAGGGCCTCTCAGCTGTGACCCAAATTTGATCCCTGCTAGCTATTACACCCAGGCTGCTACTCAGCCCTCTTCACTAAGAATTGAATCTTTAGCTCCCCCTAGCTGACTAGGAGGGTGCTATGTTTATTTGCTAAATTTTAGAACAGAAACTAAAAAAAAACGTTTTTTTTTTTAAATTATTGGTATTTTTTCCTTTATATAGCAAAAAATGAAAAACTCAGCGTGATTAAATACCACCAAGAAAGCTTTTTTTTGTGTTAACAAAAATAACTTAAGTTTTATTTGGGTACAGTGTTGCATGATCAGGCAATAGCCAGTTTAACCCCTTGCCTTCCAGGCACTTAAACCCCATTCCTGCCCAGGCCAATTTTCAGCTTTCAGCGCTGTTGCATTTTGAGTGACAATTGCACAGTCATGCAACACTGTACCCATATGAAATTTTCATTATTTCACACAAATAGAGCTTTCTTTTGGTGGTATGTACTCGCTGCTGGGTGTTTTATTATTTGCGCTATAAACAAAAAAAAGCACACATTTTGAAAAAAAAATTATTTTCTTTGTTTCTATTATAAACTTTTGCAAACAGGTAATTTTTCTCCCTCACTTATGTGCATTGATGAGGCTGCACTGATAGGCAGCACTGATGGGCACTGATAGGCAGCACTGATGAGCTGGCACTGATATGCAACAATGATAGGCACTAATAGGTGGCACTGATGGGCATTGATAGGCAGCACTGATGGGCACTGATAGGCAGCACTGATGAGCTGGCACTGATATGCAACAATGATAGGCACTAATAGGCGGCACTGATGAGCTGGCACTAATATGCAACAATGATGAGCACTGATAGGCAGTACTGATGGGCACTGATAGGCGGCACTGATGGGTGGCACTGACTGATGGCACTGACTGACGGCACTGCTGGGCACTGACTGGCGACACCTCTGGGCACTGACTGGCGGCACTGATGGGCACTGATGGGTGGCACTGATGGGCACTGATAGGCGGCACTGATATGCAACAATGATGAGCACTGATAGGCAGTACTGATGGGCACTGATAGGCGGCACTGATGGGTGGCACCGACTGATGGCACTGACTGGCGGCACTGCTGGGCACTGACTGGCGGCACTGCTGGGCACTGATGGGCGGCATGATGGGTGGCACTGATGGGTGGCACTGCTGGGCACAGGTGGGTAGCACAGCTGGGCACAGGTGGGTGGCACTGTGATTGGCCTTATATTACACCACGTGGTCAGCTGTGTCCGTAGGACACAGTGATCACAGCAATCACCGGTTGTGCGCCCCCGAGGGCGTGCGGGAGGGAGCGTTCTGGGAGGACATCACATGACACCCTCCCAGAACTGGCCGGCCGCAGTGAAGCTGTCATTCGGCTATCTGCGGTCGGCAAGTCGTTAAGTAGCACAGTGCTGAATTGCAAAAAATACCCTGGTCATTAAGGAGGTAAAATCTTCTGTATGTCAAGCGCTCAAACCTACTGAATAATGAATCCCTTCTACAAAAGAAAAAAAAAAATTTCTAACCGGCAAAGGCACTGCTGAGATTCGAACTCAGGATCTCCTGTTTACTAGACAGGCGCTTTAACCAACTAAGCCACAGCGCCCTGGTGCTTGGTCTTCTTTTTTTGTTTTATTTACTTAAATACATTTTGGCAAATATAAGACGTTTCAAAAAGATAAATTCATCTTTCTTTTTTTTTTTTTTTTAATTGTAAATATACATATTTTTGCAGGTTAAAAATTTTTAATTTTTTAAATAGGAGTCTGTAAAGCATTGCACCTGTGAACAGCAGATTGTGGGTGCAATCTCAGGCTCCTGGAGACTGTCAGCTGTCTGCCCGTACCTCGTATGGGAAGGCAGTTACACAAGGACAGGAAGAAGCAATAAACTACTAAAGCACTCACCAGCGTCCTGGTAGTTCATTCAGAACTACAAGCCGTCAGCTGCAATGGCTGATGGTAGTTGCACCCATTTACCAATTACTGTCTTTGTTGGTATATTGCATAAAGAAATTTACCAACAAAGAAGGCATGTGAACCCATACAGGCAGAGAACAAGGGCACTCCACTGGCTTGATGACTTGGTCACCTCATCACCAGGCCCTTGCAGTTTATTGTCTGCAGTTTAGGGAAGGGCTACAGATTCATTGGTGCTTGGTGGGAGTCTTGGGACTCCCCCAATAACTTAGTGCCATTCATAACCATTTAACCACTTTCCAACTGCCCTATAGCAGAAGTACTTCTACAGGGCACAGGGATGTGCAAAATCACACATATATACGTGATTTTGTATTCAGGCACGGTCCCTACCCGCACCGCTATTGGCTCGCCGGTATGTCAATCACCGGGTCCCGGCCAACGGTTCTCGGCTGGGACTCGGTGATCATCGGAGGAGCTGACAGGGGAGAGGTCTGTATGTAAACAACACAGATCTCTCCCCCGTCACCACCAACAGGCTGCTTTATATTGCTCTGCATAGCATAGCAGAGCAATACAAAGCAGCATGTCTACACGGTAAAATACACAGTTAACCCTTTGATAGCCCCATTAACCGCTTCCGCGCTGCCCTATAGTAGAAATACTGCTACAGGGCGGCACGGGTGCGCAAAATCACATATATAAATGTGATTTTGTATTTCTGGGTAGGAGGCGTGCGCACCCTACCCGCGCCGCCATTCGCGGCCTCGGATATCAATCACCGGGTCCCAGCCAGTGATTACTTGCCAAAAACGGTGATCATCGAGTATCTTCAACAGGGGAGAGACCTGTATATAAACAACACAGTTCTCTCCCCTGTCAGCTCCTGCACACTGCTTTGTATGGCTCTGCATGGCAGACCAATACAAAGCAGTGTGCTTACAGTGGAAAGCACAGCACACAGCACACGTAGCAAAACAGCACACAGTTAACCCTTTGACCACCCCTCATGTTAACCCCTTCCTGCCCAATACCATTAGTGCACTGTCAGTGCTTTTTATTAGCACTGATCACTGTATTGGTGTCACTGGGGATGTCAGCGGCAGTTAGTCAGTTTCCCCCCCACCCAGTGTCAGAATGCCCACCGCAGTCCCGCTATAAGTCGCTGATTGCCACCATTACTAATATAAAAAACAACAAAGACATAGAGCAGAATACATTTTGACCTAAATTTATGAGGAAATGTGATTTTTAAATTTTTGCACTGGACATGTTTAATAGCAAAAAGTCAAAAATATAGTTTTTTTTTTTTTTAATTGTCGGTATTCTTTTATTTATAGCACAAAAAAATTAAAAATGCAGAGGCCATCAAATACCACCGAATTTGTGGGAAAAAAAGACAAATTTCATTTGGGTGTAGCATTGCATGACCGCGCAATTGTCAGTTAAAGTAACATAGCGCCGTAACGCAAAAAAAAAAAAAAGCCCTGGTCAGGAAGGGGGGAAATCCTCTGGAGGAAAAGTGGTTAATAGTGGTGTTGGTGGCATCTTATGGCACTTATTTTTGTAAATTAAAAGAAGTTCTGCAGTTTCATGTTTTGTTGATTTAATATTTTCTACAATTTTTTTTAATTTTTATTAATTTTTTTTTTTGGGGGGGGGGGGGGGGAGGTAGACTTTGCTCATTATATTTCAAGGTAAATATATGGGCATGTGCAAATTGCATAAACTTTGTGTTTTAAAAAATTTACAGTAAAATGCAATTCCTTATTTTTATTCCCAAAAACAAACAAGAAATTTAAAAAAAATGTGTAATGTACATGAACACACCTTACCAAATCAAAGTCTGTTCTGGGAAAAAAAGAAAACCATTTAATAAATTAAGGGAAATAAATGATGCAATGCTGCCATCTCATGGCGAATCAATGTATGACAACCAGATACACCAAAGCAGAACACCCTTTGGACCCTGCATTCACTATATCTGGTCTCCCCGGACCCTGCATTCACTATGTCTGGTCTCCCCGGACCCCGCATTCACTATATCTGGTCTCCCCCGGACCCTGCATTCACTATATCTGGTCTCCCCGGACCCTGCATTCACTATATCTGGTCTCCCCGGACCCTGCATTCACTATATCTGGTCTCCCCGGACCCTGCATTCACTATATCTAGTCTCCCCAGGACTCTGCATTCACTATATCTGGTCTCCCCAGACCCTGCATTCACTATATCTGGTCTCCCCCGGACCCGGCATTCACTATATCCGCTCTCCCCAGACCCTGCATTCACTATATCCGCTCTCCCCGGACCCCGCATTCATTATATCCGCTCTCCCCGGACCCTGCATTCACTATATCCGGTGTCCCTGGACCCTGCATTCACTATATCCGGTCTCCCCGGACCCTGCATTCAATATATCCGGTCTCCCCGGACCCTGCATTCAATATATCCGGTCTCCCCGGACCCTGCATTCACTATATCCGGTCTCCCCGGACCCTGCATTCACTATATCTGCTCTCCCCGGACCCCGCATTCACTATATCTGCTCTCCCCGGACCCCGCATCCACTATATCTGGTCTACCCAGACCCCGCATCCACTATATCCGGTCTCCCCGGACCCTGCATTCACTATATCTGGTCTCCCCGGACCCTGCATTCACTATATCTGGTCTTGCCGGACCCAGCATTCACTTTATCTGCTCTCCATGGACCGTGCATTCACTAAATCCGGTCTCTCCAGACCCTGCATTCACTATATCTGGTCTCCCACAGTACACACAACATGGAATGTGCAATTATTTTAGTAAATATAAACTGCTAAATACCTTTTCTCATCAGCATTTAGCGCAGTCTTGTGACTTCAGCAGAGCACTGGTTAAAGCTTGTAGGAGGAGTTTTCTTTCTGCTTTAGAAGGATGCAGAACCCTTGACCTCTGGACAGTGCTGATTGGCCCCGTGCTGATCACATGCACTCTCCCAAGAAAAAAAAAAAACCTGTCTAACAATACACACCAAACTGAGCATGTACAGAATGGCTACGGGTTCAGTCTGTCTTATCAGGAGATAAGACGTGGACATTTGAACAAGAGGAGGATCAGAGAAGACAGGATCAAATGGCCTTTTTACACAATGCAGAGGATTAACCCCTTAGGTTCCACAGGGAGTATAACAAGCATGCTTTCCTGCATCTACAGACTGATTGGACTGTTGGGGGTTTAGTAACCCTGTGTAAGCATTGAATGGTGTGACTTGGAGATTACGCTGAGCTGTCTTTCTTCTGAATGGCACAGTGGGGGAATGTGCTGCTGGTGGGGCTGGAAATAAAGTGAACCTGTTGTTTTTTTTTCCCTCCATGTGAAGAGAACAGGTTCACTTTAACATAGACTTATGCAGGCCATAGACGGGTCGAAAATCGGCCGATTTTTCTTTTAAAAAAACAAAAAATCGGTCGTTCAAGCGGCCGACGTTACCAGCAACGGTAAAAAAAAATCGGCCCATTTTCATCCCGTCTACAGCCGGCAAAAAGTGTCCCTGCAGAGAGCTCCACTATTTCTTTGACAGTTCTTTGACATTTATAGCGGTTGCAACAATGTATCTATTTGTATCCATTTCGAATACAGATGTTTTTATTCGGAAACAAATAGATACATTGTTGCAACCGCTATAAATGTCAAAGAACTGTCAAAGAAATAGTGGAGCTCTCTGCAGGGACACTTTTTGCCGGACTGGAATTCCTCTTCTTCTTCATCCTCTTCTTCTTCATCCTCTTCTTCATCTTCCTCTTCATCC